TTTCGAGTTAATTTTTATATATGGCGTGAGGTAGGGATCCAACTTCTTTTGCATGTGCTATACAATTGTTCCAGCACCATTTGTTGAAACGACTGTTCTTTCCCTTGTCAGTTATCTTGGCACCCGTGTCAAAAAAATCAACTGACCATAAATGTAAGAGTTTATTTCTGGACTCTCAATTGTATTCCACTGATCTACATGTCTATCCTTATGCAAATATCACCTGCCTTGACTCTTCTCTCCCTCTCACCAGACATTCATTCATTCAACAACAATGAATTGTGTATCTGTCAGGAACTGGTGCTGTGTTTGGAGACGGGCACACAATTGTGAGTGAGATGGATGCTGTTCCTGCCCTCATTGACCTGACATCCTTCTGGGAGTGGATAGACAATATATAAGTAGAGAAATAATTACAAAAGATAACTTCGCATAGTGATGAATGATATGGAAAACAAAAGATTATGTGATAGTGACCCGTGGAGGTTACAGAGAGGGCTATTTTATATTGGGATGTTAGAGAAGGCCTCTTTGAGGGTTAACATTTGAGGTCTGAATGAGAAATCAGCCATGTAGAATTTTGGGTACGGCGTGCCGGGCAGAAGGGTAGAATTTGTCTAAAGGTGAAATTGCCTAAAGGATGCACAAAGCAGGGCAAAATAGAAACATACAGAACAATAGAGGCAAAACCCTGATCGAAATATGCCTGAATTCCACTTAGCCCTGGTCTTTTCAGTCACTGAGCTATGACTTCCCTCCAGTATTGTTGAAATCTATTTGAACTAAATGTTCTTTTGTTTACAACCTGTAGTATCAACACTGAAGTTACTGTTGTCTCCCTTGCTAGACTATAAGCCTCAGGAGGGCAGGAAGAGTATTTGTCTCGTTTACATTCACAAGCAGGCGGCTCATTTACGTAACATTTATATTGCCCAAGTTTAAGAAACAAGAGGTTCCAAAAAGAGATCCAGATCGTGTGCATTTCTTAGGCAATTGGAAGGCTTGACACATTCATACTAACATTCTTGCATGGCAACAAAGGCGGAGCTGAGAACCAGCAGCCTCCTTTAGATGTCAGTTCTGAAGATGAAACTGACACTCGGAGGAGGGCAGACCACAGAGGATCACATTCTCTAGAAAAATTTTCTCATTGGTTGTGTTCTTGGCTGATTTACATTATGTGCCTGCACCCTACAGGCAAGTGTTTGTGAGCCCCTTGGACACATAATGGGCCCCGTGCTAGGAATGAATGAATAAATGAATGAACGAATGCACAAAATTATGCTACTCCCCCAATCCTCCACATAGTACATAGTGTCAAATATTTTGATTCAATTTCTCTTCTAAAGAAACATGAGTTGAATTAGATTTTTTTAAAATATTGCACGGATCCCAATTTAAACAAATATTTACACATAGCATTTATTTCTAGCGTGTAGTTTATTTTTCTGCATTAGCCAGGCATATTGACCTGAGAGTGTTCAAAATCGGGTTCTTTTAAAAACTAACCCTTTATATTTTCATTCCAGCAGAGGGCGACAGCAACAACAAAAAGAAGGAAAACAGAGGTTAGGTGGAATATTTTCTGGGTCTTCCTCCAGTAACGCTGAACCTTGGAATAAAATTCAGATTGGGAGCCACTTTTTTTGTTTATTTGTTATTTAATATTCTCAATAATTAATACATTCATATGGTTAAAAAAATAAATAAAATAAAATAAAATAAAATGATACATGGTGAATATTCTCTCCCACCTCGCTCTCCCTTGTGCCTGGCTTCCTACTTAACCTCCCCCACGGGTACAACTGCTGTTTTTCTTTTGAGGTTTTTATGCACATACAAACAAATATAAATATCTATTTACAGCTTCCTCCCCTTTATCCAAAAGGTAGGTACACCAAAGATGTTCCGAATATACTGTTCTATACCTTGCTTCCCTTTGTCCACGACTTGTCTTGTAGACCGTTCCATATCAGTACATAGAGAAAAGTTTCTCTCATTCTCTCTCTCTTTCCATCATTCCTTCTCTCACAGCAGCATAGTTCTCCACGGCATACTCGTATCATTTTCTCTTTACCCAGGCCTCTACTGATAGGCATTCAGGTTGTTCTTAATCTTCTGCTACTAGAAATAAAGCTCAGTAAATAACATTGACTATCTTTTGCGTGCGCGCGCGCACACACACACACACACACACACACACACACACACACACACAAATGTATGTATAGCAGTGGCTGTCAGCCTCACAGCACATGAAAACCACCTAGGGGAGCTACCCAGTCCACACCTCAGATCAATTTTATCAGAATCTGTGAGTGTGAAACCAGGGCATCCTGGTGATTCCAGTATCCAGCTGGGCACCACTAACCCTTGAGGGGAAATTGATGGGTCAAGAGCATATAGATTTATAAATTTACTAGATATTGTCAAATGGCTTCCAAAGGGGATTGTGTCAACTTGTTCTCCAAGATGCTATGTATGAGAGGGCCTGAGTCTTCATAGTCTCACCAATAAATCAGGCTTGTCAAACTTTGATTGTTGCCAACCTGCTAATTTTTTTTTTAAAGGTATCTCAGTCCTGCTTTAATTTGCTTTTCTAGCCATTTGATCTGTCTGGTCATATCCTGTGCCCATTTCTCTTTTCTTTTTTTTTAGATTGATTTCTCAGAAGTCAGCAAGATTAATTCTTTGTGATTTGAGCTACAAATACTTTTCACTGCTTTGTCTTTTGTTTTTACACTTTGCATGAGGCAGTATGTTTTTTTCTATTGAAGACTTTTTAAATATTTGAACGTATCCATCTTTCGTTATGGCTTCTGGATTTTGATCATGGTTAGAAAGACTTTTCCCATTCCAGACTTATAAAGAAAGCCTCCTATGTTTTCTTCTGGAACTTTTGTGGTTTCCATTATTTACATTTATATTTATGATTCTTTTGGAATTTACCCTGGTCAATGGTGTGATGTGTGGATCCATTTTTGTCTGTTTTTCTCTCCAATGGTTAATTGTCTCATTACCTTTATCAGGGAGTAAGGTAGGAACTGCCTTGGGCTGCATCGAATCAGAATTTCTTTGTTTTTGTCTTTTTATTATAGTGTTAGGGTTCAGAATGAGTCACCTCAAGATGTGCCTCCATGGTATACAGATTGTTCTGAGACAAAGGTACCTTTAGCAGCAGGCTCAAGGGAAACTTCTGCTCCTTCTTTAACTACCTAGAAGAACTTGAATTAAGGGCCTTTGCCCATAAGATATTATCAGAGATAACCTCTTTTGACCTATATATAGGGCAGGACAAATGTTTATTTACTAAGCATCTGCTCATCTTATCGTTCTGCAATGACTCTTTGAACCCCAGGAAATTTACTTCATCCCTAGTTCAGGATGTCTTATTACCCATGTTCCTTTTCTGTCTCTGAATCTCTCCTGTATGTGGGGCTCCCATACATATGTAAGTGTTAAATTTTGTTATTTTCTCTTGCTAATCTGTCTCATGTCTATTTGATTATTAAATCATCCGGAAGAACCTTGATGGTAGAGGAAAGTTTGTTCCTCCCTTGCAATAGCAACACCTGCCCTCACTTTCCTGGAAATGTGGTACCATCTACCCATTGATTCATTCATTGACTGACCTTTTTTGTTTGCCACTCAGAATTTTATTATTAATTGGACATTGTCCTTGACTTTTTGGATTTCTATTTAGGATTTATTTTAATTAATAACCAACAGCGATGACCTTTCATTAAATATCTAATATATTTGTTTACATGTATCATTTCAGTTAAACCACAAACCAAACCTAGGATGTCAGTATCAGTATTATTCCATTCTAGTAAAGTAATCTTCGAGCTTTTGAGGCTTGTCCAAGGACCCACAGTTCGAAAGTAGCAGGCTGGTCTCCAGTGTTCGGCCCTTTTATCTGTCTTGACACTGTAACTGGTCTCTGTGGAATGACTGGATGAGAGAATGAATGAGTGAGTCAGTGAGGAAATGAAGAAGACAGAATGAGTCAGCTCTTCACTCAGAGGAACCCAAATGGAGAGATAAGATGTGAATGCAAATAACCAGAATACAAAGTAAACAGTGATCCCACCAGCGTTTTGGAAGCAGTCCACTTTGTATCCCCTCCTGTTTCAGATGCTTAATTCCTTCTAATTCCTCCCCACCTAGAAACCTTGGAGCCAAACACTGGGGTGAGCTGGGGGCAGTCTCCTTTGGTCTGATGCATTAAGTCACCCACTTGGAGATCCCCTGTGGATCTGGGGAGCTCTGCAGCCCTGGGGAGGGGGGAGAAGGAAGGAAGGGGACTAAGGAGGAGGGAGATGCAAGGTGGGGGAGGGAAGAGGAAGAAAGAAGGGAAGGGAGAAGGGAGGAGGTGAAGGAAGAGAGCTTGAGAAAGAGGGAATACGGAGGAAGGAGTTGGGGGGTGGGGATACTGAGGTGAAAGAAGGAGGAAAGAGGAGGGGAGGTAAGCGGGTGGAAAGGGGAGAGGGAGGGAATAGGTAGGGGGAGAAGGGGTTAGAGTAGTGGGTGGAGCAAGGAGGGGAGAGTAGAGGAGGCGTAGGGAATAAGGAAGAAGAAGAACCAAGGAGGGGGGAGGAGAGAGCAAGAGCAAAAAAGGGGTAGAAAGAGGTGAGAGAGGGGTTGGGGAGGAAGAAATGGGGCGGAGGAGTTGGGGGAGTGGGAGACGAGAAGGGGGTTGGGAAGAGGCGAAGGGGAGGAGGGAGAAGAGAGAAAGAAGAGGGGGAGGGAGGAGGAAGAAGGAGGAGAGACAGAGAGGCGGTAGAGGGAGGGGGAAAAAGCCCCTTTAGCCCTCACTGCGGAGTTGCACAACCCACCGGGCTAAGATTGGTCGCCTGCGAGTAAAGAGACCCCGCCCCCGCGGCTCGGCCACTAATGATGAGCGGGGACGGAGCGGCCGCGGCCTGGGGGGGCCAATGGCTGGAAGGGGTCTGGGCGGGGCGTCCCAGGGGGCGGGGCGACGCGGCCTTGGTCCAGGCGAGCGCTCAGTACGCACTCGCAGCTGCCGCCGCGCTCGAAGCACGGATCTCGCATCCCTGCGTAGCTCTCGCCGCTGCAGTCACCCGCCGCTTTCGCTCGCCCGCCTTCGGCGCGTCCCCGCCGCGCTCCGATCCCTGCAGCTGGCCCGGGGCGTGCTCGGTGCTCTTGGGCAGAGTGTCCCCGCTGTGGTCCCGCGGCAATGGCCACTAAAATCGACAAAGAGGCTTGCCGGGAGGCGTACAACCTGGTGCGCGACGACGGCTCGGCAGTCATCTGGTGAGGAACTTTCTATTGCTCTCCAGGCCCCGCTCCCCAAGCTCGCGAGGGGCCTGGTGCACTGAGCCGTCTTCCAGGCGGGACGGATTAAGGGTCATCCGGTGCTGTCTTCCTCAGCCCTAACCCAGGACAGCGTGGAAAGCCAGCACTGGCTTCTCTCGAGCCAGGGCATCTTTTAGATTGTCCTGCTGGAAGCTCGGCACCATGCAGCTACCAACGCTGACGTGTGTCTGTTTTTTCTTCTCCCAATCCAAAGGGTGACTTTTAAATATGAGGGCTCCACCATCGTCCCCGGCGAGCAGGGAGCGGAATATCAGGACTTCATCCAACTGTGCACAGGTATGAGACGCATCTTTTGGGGGAATTCCTGATCTTTTGAGAAATTGTTAAAGTCTGGGGGAGGAGTGGCAGAGGCCAAACTGGGAAGAGCCTGTGGCCACTCCGGGCGCCCCCGGCTCTGGAAGATTTGAGCATTTTAAAGCCTCAAAAAGCTTCCTTTCTGGACATCTGGAGCAACCAATGGTGACTGCCTGCCTGGCTTCCTTGCTCCGCAGTACCCTCTCCGGGTGGGACAGCTCCTTTGCCCCCTGCGGATCACTGGTTTTTCCACAGCCAACTCTTGCGGTTCCAAACTCCAGTGTTCAGCCCTCTCACCTTCCCCTTTGATCGGTCAGTGAGCCAAAATAAAAATACTGGAGCAAGAGAAACGAACTGTCAGGTGCACCCTCCTTTCAACCACAATCATTTTCAGTGTGCTGGATATATGTTTTTTATTTGATTAATATAGAGCCAGATATGAAAGAATACACCCCACATTCCATTTATATGAAACTGTAGAAAAGGCAACATTAATCTGTGGTGTGTAAAGTCAGAATAGTGGTCACATTTTGGGATAGAGAGCCACTGACAGGGAGGGAGCACGAGGAAGGCTGGGGGGAGGGTGCGTTGGAAATGTCCTGTATTTTGATCTTAGAGGTGGTTATAGAGGTGTGTGCACATGTAAGAAATCATTAAGCAAATACTTAAGATTTGTAAACTTTGTGCACTTCCCTGGTGTATTATGAACCATTAAAAGGAAAGAACATGTAGTGTGCATAACCCTAAACCCCTCGATCAAGTCAAAGGCTCGGCATCATTGGTAAATAGGTCCCTTTAAAGCTGAGATCAGAGAGTGGGCTTCCTCCTAGCCCTTGGTCTCTAGCTTGGAAACATATTCAGACAAAGGCAGCACAGCCTGGAGGTTAGGGCGTGGGCTCTGAGCTAGCCTGGGAGAGTGGGTTTGAATCCCTGAGTGGTCACTCTCTAGCTGTGTGGTTGGGGCAAGTTACTTTACCTCTGGGGGGCCTTGGTTTTCCTCACCTGTAACCTTGGAGGGTTGTTGTGAAGATAAGTGAGTCACTGTGTGTCATATGCTCAGGACAATGCCTGTACAAACCACATGGTCATTTGTGAACTAAAGTACAAAATTGTGCTAAGGATCATGCGACTGCTCCTTTTTCTAACTACTTTCTTAATCAAATGACATTTTGCATTAATCTCATTCACAGAATATTTATGAAGTATCGGCTACGGGCTGGTGGTACTAGGTTTTTTCTTTTTAATGTTCTTCCAACTAAAATGTCTTTCTGAGAGCTGCCTCCAGACTTTCACTCATTGCTTTTGTAAAAGATTGGTTCAAAATATCAGACTCGTAAAGTACCATAACGACTCATATTTCCTAAGATGCACAGGGTGGAGAGTTGGTGGGGTCAGGATTGGGACCCAGACCCCTGACTCAGGAGCCCTCTCAACCACTGCTATTCTTCTGCCACCGTGGCAAATGCTTTTGCAAGTGGAATAAGCATACACTCTTGACTTTCCCCCGATTTGGTGCACAAATAGGAGATTCAGCAGTGATTTTTGCCTTGCTGGCTCTGAGGCTTTGTTTCTCAGGCCAGCTTTCCTATTCCCTGAACTGGGGGACAGTAAACTACCAGTTTCTTTCCTCCTGCTGCCTGGCCATCCATCACTCCGCCCCCCCTGCCCCCATCAGACTGGGTTCTGCCTCTGAAGCTATTATTGTTCTCTTCATCAAGTAGGAGAAGGTGACCCGGGGAAGAAAGAGCATCCTGTCAATAGATTCTGAACAGATGCTCCTGGCCATTGGGCCTGCTAAACTGGAAGGGCTTGCTTGGGTCAGAGAACACTTCCTTCCTCCCTTGGGCTTTGCGGTTTTCTACTCTGACCCTTCCTCCAAGGACAGGGATGGGAGTGGGGCATGCCTGGCGGGGGAACTAAAAATGCTTTCCCTGCTGCTTGTTGATCTTATGAATGGACTGTGGGATCTGAAAGCTCAGTCTGCTTTGGCTGGAAGTCTGCCTTCCTTCCCCAGCCATCTGTTAGACAAATGTATAGGCGAGTTATGGGTGCTGTGTCTGCTCTTGTTCCTCTCCGAAAAGCTTGTTGCTTCCCGCTGCTGTGTCCTTACAACCTAGTGACAAAAGAATCGGAACACTAACTAGTAACTTTTGATGTGTCTGTCCCTGCACTTGACATGCTTTGTCTCTGTTACTGAGATTGTTTCCCTTCTACAGATGAGTAAACCAAGGCCCAGAGCGGTTAAACGTCTTGCCCAAGATCACACTGCTAGGACATTGCAGAGCTGGGGGGTCTTGAACCCAGGCAGGTTGGCTCCAAGGCCCATGTTCTTGTCCTTTTAGCTCTAAGAAGTGCTTCAGATTCTCCTCTCCAAGCCATGAGACTTCTTTAGTGGTACAGCAGGTTCTGGTTGGGGCTTGTGGGATTGTTTGCAGCTTATTAAAGACATGTTTGCCCACTTGTGTGATGCAGGGAGGGCTCTTTGTAGGCCTAATTTTCAGCCAGGTGTCCTGACAGGCCTGAGGGTCCCCTTTAGCACAGGCTTCCTGTTTCCAAACATCTCACAAGGTGCACAGAGGACTTGGAAGACCAGGAACTGCACCTGGTCTCTGTCTCCATTGCTCTGGGCTGTAGGGTTAGGAGTGGGGCATTTCCTCCTGGGCTCTTTCTCTGACAGTCCCTCCTGGGTCATTGTCTCTCTGAAACACCTTCCTTCCCCTCCCCTCTCCTCTCTGGCTACTATCTTCCTTCTCCTGTTCTTGCCCAGCATTTTCCAGGATGGAATCTGTCTGTCCAGCCTCCCACTGTCATCTCTCCCAGCCCCCAGGCCTGGCCTCTCCTTGTCCACTGCAGCTATTTTCTGGAAGGTCGCCGATCTGGAAAGTTGCTGGGCCATCATCTTCCTGCTCCTTTCTGCTGGCAGGATTTGGAGACCTGTCTGGCCCTGCACTGGCTCTTCTGGCCTTGGACTCATCTGGCCCCTCCTTCTGCACTAAGCGGTCCGTCATCATCTCCATCTCTGCTCTTGCTTCTACACCATGCTTCAATCCATATAGGTGGTCAGAGATCTTTCAGGTGCAGTGAGAGAATCTCCATGCAGATTAGCTTACGCAAAAAATCGGTCTGTAACTTCCATGGTTGGAAAGTCCAAGAGAAGTGCTAGCTAGCTACACGTAAGGCTGCCCAAGTTCAAACCCCATCTCTTCCATCTCCTGCCTCTCTCTGCCTTCCTCCTTTATCGCCCTTCTTTTGGGCAGGCGGGCCGGAGGGCAGGTTCTCATTGAGTGGTGATACACATGGCCACCAGCTTTCTCTGCTTCCAGGCCACGGGCAGAGCCATCCCAATGGAGAGAGAGAGTCCTTCTGCCAATGATTTTGGGTCTCCAGACTATCCTCAGCCTGGCTGGGTTTGTGTGTCCATCCTGAACCAATCCCCGGGACTCTGGCTGACTGAGCCTGGATCAGTGCCCACCCCTGGAGCAGGGGAGGGTGGCTCTCTAAAAGAAGAGTCGGGGCTGGGGAGTTGGGTTGGGTGTGTGCTACTTCCTGAGAGGGGCAAACTAAAAAACAGGTCCATCGCCTCTCACCCATGACTCCTTTATGGCAACAGTTTTCCAGCCTTTGCTCTTTCTCATCTTATATCCATTCTCCCCGCATCTTTCGAGTAACTTTCTAAAACACATCTCTAATCAAGTCACTCTTCTGTTCATTAACCTTCCATGACTCCCCTCTGCCCTCTGAATTAAGCATAGGCCATCTGATTGGCATTCCATTCAACTTGTCTCCACCCACGTCTCCTGCCCAATAGCTTCCCAAACCCTTCTCTGTGCACCTGTAGCCTGACACTGTGTAACACTCCCAGCCTTTGGGCCTTTGACTTTGGATATTGCCTCCAAGTGGATTCATCTTCCTTATCTCAACCCATCTGATATTCAGCCTAGTTCGATCCCTTCTTTATTTGAACAGCCAGGATACTTTGGAATCAGAAAAGCTCTAAATTCGCATCCCAGCTCTGCCCCTCTCTTATTGTGTGGCCTTGGGCAAGGACATTCCTTCCTCTGCTCTTCAGTTTTCTGGTCTGTAAAATGGGGATCCTGACAATGCCTATCTCTGAGGGTAACTAAAATATTACCTCTAAAATGAGAGCACCGGCCCTTGATACACATTGACTGTTGTTATTGTCCCTTTATATCATTATTTTTCCTCTTACAGTGCTTATGACATTGCGCTGTCTGTTCTGAAGCCTTCAGTGTATGCCCCACCTCAGCACACTGTCGAGGCTTAACCCTGGGTTAGCTCACAGTAGGCACTCCTCGACCCTAAGCTGGCATGCAGTGATCATCGGGCCCAGTGTGGGCATGCAGTAGACTTCGGCCCAGGTCCACATGCCATAGGTGCTCAGTATGTGGTAAGAGTTGGTTAGCGCACTGGTTAAAGATTTGGGCCTCATCAGATGGCCTGGGTTTCAATACTTGCCAGTTATGTGACCTGGAGCACCCACATGGTCATCCTTGGTCATCCTTCTGGTATAATGTGGTCATTAGGAGGAGAAAGGAAGCAAGTCTTTGGTACCTAGGATATAGTCAAGTGCTCCATAAATGTTAATTAGCATCGCTGTAATCTCATTGGTAGAATTTAATTAATGTGGAAGTAGAGAATGTGGTGTGAGAGCACCAGAAAGGTGGGAAGGTGAAGAGGCAACGGAGAGGAAATGGGTACTGAGCAGCGCTGTAGGGTCTCTGGTTCCCCTGACAGAGCCATTGGGAGTCAGGAGGAGCTGGGGCTCAGCTGGCAAAGACAGCAGGAAAGGAACCATTTGCCAGACTAACTGGACACATGATCTCTCTCTGATCAAAGCATAAAGGGCTCATAGATCACCTATATGTGACAAGGCAGTGGCTTGGGCCATCTATGAAATCACGTTCTACTTTTGCACCTTACAAGTAAAACATGTTCCTTGTAGAATATTCAGAAACCAAGAC